TCTGTGTCCTTCTGACTGTGGAGTTCCGGGACACAGGTCCATGGGCCACAGACAGGGTGGAGAAGGTATGGGAATTTTCTCCCCTGGACCGAAAACCTGACACCTGACAGAGAGTCAGTGCAGTTTTCCGAGGAGAAGAGTCTGCAGCCTCCATCAGGCCCACAAAGGAGCATCAGCGACGGCGGGCTGTCCACAGCCCTGCCATGGCCCTCAGGACTGCGGTTTGCGATCTGAGTCTCGGCAGGCAATGCTGCGTCCTAGCGTGGGGAGGCAGCGGGACTCGGGGGGCAGGTGAACACCCACACGCTCACAGATCCCAATGCAATAGATGATTTCCAATAAGCGAAACTGATCAAAATCAATGAAACAGGGAGCAAAACACCTGAGCGGACCCATGAGTCATGCAGAGACTGAGAAAGCTACCAAGAATCTTGCTGGACAGCCCAGCTCCCACACGGAAGCATGTGTTTAGGATTTAGATCGTGAGCGTCATGGAGAGGACTGGTAGCCTCAAGCAGGCTGGCCTTCAGGATTGCCCAGGGGCGCAGGGCGTTCCTGTACCTGATCATCTCACAGCAGGTGGACCCTGGCCCTGGGGAGAGGAGGAATGGGTGCTTCCGTCCCCTACCTCCGGGCTGCTGCTGACGGAGGATGTCTGAATGGCATCCCTTCCTGTTTGCACAGGGGGAGAAAAGAGAGCACGTGTGGGAAAGACCGGACTGCCATGGATGCTGGGACGCTGACAGCCAGACACCTGGCAGGTCCTCTGCTCATCCGCTGCACGTTCTGCTTTTCCCCATTTTCTCTCTCTAGGGTAAGTATCCCTCACTCTAGGGTAAGTATCCTTTGGCGGGAGAAAGTCTCCCGGAGCTAGCGCAGAAGGGAGCATATAGGAGAAGAAGATTTACCCTAGGTAGGACAGGAGTGCAGAACCATTAAATGGAAACAAATTTGATACCATGGATGGATTGGGCTAAATCACCCAGATAAAGATGAAAATAGAAAGTGTAAGGAAAAATCAGCATAAGTAAGCCTATCAATCTGCTACTTTGTGACTACAGACCAAACACGACAACGATCTGCACAATGGTCTTCACAGATGGGGAAAATTCATACAATTCAACAGCCATTTCTAAGACACAAAACTACTTCCTTAGCATCATTTTTTAAAAATCGTGTTTGTTCCAAAGAAATCAGCATTTGTCGGAGATTAATTCATAGTATTATCTATTGTCAATATTAATTAATTTGGTGTGGACAATTCTGGTTGCAAGCAGTAAGACATAAAACAAAAAGTACATAGATTTTTTTAAGATTTTATTTATTTATTTGACAGACAGAGATCACAAGTAGGCAGAGAGGCGGGGGGTGGGGGGGGGGGAAGCAGGCTCCCTGTTGAGCAGAGAGCCCAATGCAGAAGGCAGAGGCTTTAACCCACTGAGCCATCCAGGCGCCCCAAAAAGTATATAGATTTTAAAGGAACAGGAAAAACATTACTTTGATAAAAAATAAAGCAATCAACTGAAAAATTTTTAAAGACTAAGAAGATCAGTTAAATGGTTAGGTATAAAACAGATACACAGAATTAAGTAGTGATTATAATATATTATCAATGACCAGTTTGAAAATATAAGAAAAATGAAATTTTATCTACAGTATCAACAAAGCATAATATACCGAAATGAATTATTAGTGAGAAATACTGTGATTATGTGAATTCTTCTTTAATATTTCACTCGGTTACATAAAACTAAGGAAACAAAATATCTGAGTGCCTTTTTTAAGCTAAATAAACAAAAAAGGAAAACCCCAGTAGACCTCTTGATGGGACGTCCAAATTCTGTGAAGACACACATTTCTCTCCCTGCTCCCCCAAACTGTTTTAGGTATGTGGAATCCCACTTAAAATCCTGGCAGGATATCTCTAGGAAACTGACAAAATTATTCCAAAGTTAACCTGGAACATGAACATATCAGAATTCCCAGTCAAGTCCAGAAAAAAAAAAGAGCAATGGTAGATGGAGGGACAGATTCCACTGGACACCAAAACTTCCCCTGAGGTCATGGGGGTCACACACCATCGGTCTTCCTTAAAACCAGACGTATGGCTGAGGCAGAGTAGGGGGAAGTGGAAAAGCCCAGATATAAAATCTGCTGTGTACAGAACGTTACCGTTTGATAAAGGAGGCCTCGAGCAAAACCAGGCGGAAGGGGAGGTGGGAACATTCGTCAGGGTTCTTGGTTGGCGGTTTGGGAAAGGATCGATTTACAACCCTCATCTCATGCCAATATGGAAAACAACAACAAAAACAAAGTTCAGAACAACAAGTTTCCGGTCTGATCAGAGAGGAGGCAAACACAGATTGGTTAAGTTTCAGGCTCACAGGGTAAATTCTACTGCAGAAGGAGGGTAAAGCGTGTGCTGACATATAAAAGCAGCATCCTAACTTTGTCCTTTTGGGGGGATACATTTCAGAGATATTTCTAAGGCAGAATCGGTTACATTTGTGACTAACTGGATGTTGGGGAAGCGGGGTACTTAAGAAAAGGCTAAGGCAAACTTAACTTCTAGGCTTCAAAGGGTATCAGTAAGCAAGGGATGAGATGACCAGAAGTCAGAGAAAGCATTTGCCAATTATGTATCCGATAGGAGACTCGTGCTCAGAATAAGGAAGAGTTCTTACAGCCCCAAATTAAAAAGACAAATAACCCAATTTAAAAATGAGCAGAGGCTCTCCACAGACATTTTTCCAAAGAAGATCCACAAAGGGCCAATAAGCACAAGAAAAGATGTGCTTCAGGGAAATGCAAATCCCAGCCAGGAGTTTCCACTTCTTTCTCGCCAGGGCGGGTCTCATCAGAGGACAGCCCTTCACAGGGGTCGCCAGGGGCTGCAAGGACGGGAACCCTCACTCCCTTCGAGGAGGACTGTAAAACAGGGCATCCCCTTTGGGAAAACAGTGTAGCAGTTCCCGTGACAGCTAGAAGCCCCACATGGCCCAGCAGTTCCAGTCCTAGGCACCCACCTAAGAGAAGTGAAATGTACGCACCCCCAAACTCTTGTGGACAGAGCCTGCCTGCCTCCAGCCCCTGCGCAACGGATCTCAGGCTGGAAAGCTCTTGTCCCAGGTCCTCTGACTGACTAGACCCTCGCCTCTCACAACTGTTCAGACCTCACCTTCCCAGCCATGCCGATACCGATCGCTGTGGTTAACACGGCAACCTGACCCCGTCCTCGACCCGGCCTACGTTTTCTTGTCTACACCTCTCACCGTCTCCTAACTCACAACACAAATGCTTATTACATGTTTTACCCATTAGAATGAGACGTCGATGAGGGCAAGCCTCTCTGTTTTACTCACGACGTTTCCTGCATTAATAGAAAATTGAGACCCAGGGAGAACGTGGGTATGGCTCACTGTCACTGAGCCAGAAATGCGTCTCAGTAGGGAGGCTAGCCGTGGCCCAAATCCTAAAATCTTTCCAAATAGTTCTCCTACCCAGTGATAAGAGGACAGTGAGTAGTTGAGAGGACCTCAGGCTTCAAGATTATTCCTGGTACCAGCGGAGCCCACCGCATGGTTATAATCCACCGTTTCCTTCCCTTCCCTTCTATAATGGCTTCCCATTTCCCGCCAAACCACGTCAAGTACTCAATCTGGCTTTCAAGACTTGGAATACTTGGTCCTGAAATGTTCTCTAGCCCCCAGTATTACCTGGTCTCCACCATCAGAAATGAGACCCTTGGGCAAAAACCCCCTTCTCTTGGGTTAACCCACCACTTGCGGGTCTGTGTTTAAAATCAAATCTGAATGACTGTTAACAACACCCTTCCAGCACCTTTCGCCTCCTTCAAGCTCCGGCTTAGGACTGTCCCCGTCCTATTGCCGATTCCTGGCTCAGCTCCACACTAGACATGTGTCACCCCGCAACACATCGGACTTCTTCAAACCCTGGATCCCACCTGCCTGCCTCTGTAGGACAGCGGGAACCTGCTGCTCTCGGTTCCCAGCACGGCCAGGCCTTACGCTCTCGGCTGCCAAACCCCAAGGCCGCTCCTCCTTGAAGACCCCCCGCGGCCGGTACCTTCGCCGCGGTTCGCCGCTTCTTACCCCGAGATCTGTCTGCAGGAGACCCGCGCTTCGCGCTGCCGGCCCCGCCGAAATCCCTCCCCAAAGCAGGCCCAGCGGGGGGAGGGCAGGGAGATGCTCCCTACAAGCACCAAAGAGCTCGGCAGTCGAGATGAGACGGTCCCGACACGGTATTTTTCGAACATCAAGCTGAACGCAACAATTCACAGCGAATGAAACATCAGATCTAAATCCGGCCAGACCCGGCCGGCTCCTACCTGCTGGCCCGGCCTCTCTCCGCGTGCGACCTCGGCCTCCCGCTGGGGCGCCGCCCGCACCGCTCGGCGGGCCCCGGGTCTCCGGAGGGCGCGGGGGCCCGTGCGCCCGTGCGCGTGGCACCGTGCGCGCGCGCTCCCCTCCGCACGCCGGGGCTCCGGACCGGGTGGCGCGGCGCCCCTGGAGCTCGGACCCTGCGCTCGCCCGCCGGGGACACGCGGTCGCACGTGCGGACGGCTCGGAGCTCCCTCGGGCAAGGCCGACGGGCGGAACGCACGCTTTCCGGCGCGGCAGTCCGGGGCAGGAGCTCGCCGGGCCCCGCGAGGGAGCACAGGAACCCTCACCCACCGCCACACAACAGGAGGCCCTCAGGCGCCCCCTGCCCGCGCGCCGGTGCCCGCTCGACCCCCGCAGCGCGGGCTGGGAAGCGGCTCCCAGCGTTCCGCCCCGCCCCCCGCACGGGGCGCCGGCCAATCGCCGCGCGCCGCGGGTCCCGGCCCCGCCCCCAGCCCGCGCACCGCCCCGCAGCCCCGCCCGGCCGGTAATAATTAGGCGGCGGGCTGGGCGCCGCGTCAGCGCCCGGCGCCGGCCAATCGCAGAGCTCGGGCCCGCGGCCGCGTCACAGGCCGAACCACCAAACAGAAAAGTTTAATAAACAGCGGACGGAGGCCGGCGGCGGCGGCGGGGCCGGAGCGAGCAGGGGTTCGGCGGCCTCACCTGTCCCCACTCTCCGGCGGCAACCGGCGGCGGCGGGCAGCGCGGCGGGCGGGTAGGGCCGCCGCCAGGTGAGCAGCGCGGCGGGGGCCGGGGGGCGCGGGGGCCGGAGCCGCTCCCTTCCCCCACCGGCTGAGGCGCGGCCGCGGCGCTCCCCCGCGGGCGGACGGAAGCCAGGGCGGCGGGCGGGGGGCAGGGCGGGCCGTGGGCTGCGCTCGCGGACCCCCGCCCCTACTCCGAGCAGTTGACAGGCGGGGGGTGGGGTGGCGGGAGCCGGTCTCCACCTGCTGCGCCCGCGGCCCCGGTGGGGCGGTCCCTCCTGTCACGGCGCGTTCCGGCGGCGCGGGTGTGGGCGGGCGGGGGTCCGGCAGGCCCCCACCCCCCTCCGCGGCAGCCGCCCGTCCCGGGCTGTGGGCGGGCGGGGGTCCCGAGCGCTCCCCCCGGGCAGCCGCCCCTCCCGGGGGCTGGGGGGACGCGGGTCCCGAGTGCCCCACCCCCCCTCCCGGGCAGCCGCCCCTCTCGGGGTGTGGGGGGGCGGGGTCCCCAGCACCCCCACCCCCGTCCCCGGCAGCCACGGTTCCCGGGGTGTGGGCGGTTGGGGGTGCCGGGCGGGGGCTCCCCGGGACCCGGTGCGCTCTGGAAGTTGGGGGTCGTGGGAGCCCGCCCTGCGTCTGGCGCTGGGGCCCGGAGCGAGGGTTCGGCGGGGTTCGCTTTCCCGACACAGTTGCGGCGGCCTGCGAGGTTAGCCCGGGGCCCATTGCCTGCCTGCGACGCACGGGCCAGCGCTCCAGGGGAAAAACGCTCTTTTCCTGCAAAAGGTGCCGTTTGCGTTTCTGCAACAGGTCGCCTCTACACTCTGCTCCCTGCGCGCCTTCCAGTGCACGCGGGCGGCGGCGGAGGGGGAGCCGGAGGGGCAGGGAGCGTCCGGGGGCGGGCCCTCTCCGAACGCGCAGGGGAGCGGACGCGCGTCGGAGACCCGGTGGCGAGAAGAGCCGGGTGGGCGGCCCCGCCGCGAGGGCCGCACCAGCCCGCAGCCGGCATCCGCTCGCCGGGGCCTCCCCGCCTCCGTGCTCCAGCCTCCACGCCCGGCACGTCGGTGCGTCCGGTGCCCCGTGTTTATCACGGCCTCGCGTCGGAGAGAAGACAGGGGTTCGCCCGTACGTGCGTGCGCTCGGACTGCGGGCTAGGAGTGCTGTCCGCTCGGGCCGGGCCGGGGGCTTCGGGGTGGCCCCGAGCTCTGTTCCCCCCCCACCGGGACTGATGCTCTGGGCGCTCACAGCCCTGGGCAGCGGGGCCCCGTGGGCGCTGCTGGGCTCCCGCCCGGGACGCAGGCCTGCCAGGGCTCCCGCCGGCGCGGAGCCGAGCGCGCCCGACAGGGTGTGGGGCGTCCAAGGGGTCCCGGCCACCGCGGCTGGTTCACAGTGTGCGAGCGCCGGCACCAGCCCGGGTTCCCGTCCGCGTGTGCGTAGCGTGACTCGTTCCTTGGAGGTCACAGCGGGAGCAGTCGGGCGCTAGTTGCCAACGTAAGTGTGAGTGCAGAAAGCACTGGGTTGTGTGTAGGGTGAGTCGGCGTCGTGCGCGGCCCCTCTGTCGTGCTGGCGGGTTCCCTCCAACTTCTCTTCCTCCTTAGCACCGGTCAGAGAACCCGCCCTCCATCCGTCCTTACAGCTTTGCACACTTTGCTTACCGGAAGCCCCCATCGATGGGCAGAGCCTTCAGCGAAGAGCACTAGGACGGAGGTGCTCTTTGTGCGGTGACGTGGAGGGTGACCTGCACACTTCTGGAGGAGGACGTGTGGTGGGCTTTAGGATATGCTCTGCACGCTTCTGAGAGCTTCGTAGTTCCCCAGCCTCAGACCTGGGAGTGCGGGACCGGTGTGCTCCTAGAGCCGCGTTACTGCCCAGGCCTGCAGCGGCGCTGACCTCGCCCGGGCAGCGTTAATTTCGGGAAGCGGTGGTAAGTCATGGGAGTTTATAGACGGCTCCAAACACCTTGTTCTGAAGGTGCGGGAGTACAGATGCGTTGTTGCTGTCACCAGCATGCGTGGCTCTCGCGCACACTGAGTAGGCTGCTTGGTTTTGGTCGGGCTGTTTTATTATCCTGCTTAGAAGCTTTAAAAAAAGCCTCAGTTTTGTATTAAGGGCAATTTGGTTTTGGTGTGTCGTCCTCCCCCCCCCCCCAACAGACACTTTTACAAGGAATAGGAGGTTACAGAGAATAAATAACCGTTGTTAAAGTTTCCGCCGGTACACCCCCAGTCTTTCTGTTTGTGTACATTCTAAGAAATTGGGGGTGGGGTTTTGGAAGATTCTGGGTTGCCTCTGCCTTCAAAGCTTATCCGGAATATGATCCGTCTCAACACCTTGCTGCACCCCGGATGGAAAGAGCAGTCATCTAACCCGTCTCCCTGCCTCGGCTGTCGCTCTCCTGCAGTCTGTGCGGTTTCTGTGGGGCAGCGGCCGTTCAGTGGGTGACTTCGAGGCTCGGCACCCTCCGGTCACTTCACAACGTGTGAAATGAAACGAGAGCTTCTTACTCTGCCCACTTTACCCTAGACCTGCAGTGTCCAGTGGAAATGTAATGGGAGCCACATAAGTAACTGAAGATCTTCTGATAGGGGCACCTGGGTGGCTCAGTCCGGCGTCTCACTCTTGACTTTGGCTCAGGTCATGATGTCACAGTTGTCAGATTGAGCCCGGCAGATTGCTCCACACCCAGCGGGAAGTCTGCTTGCGATTCTCTCTCCCCACCGCCTCCCCGCCAGCTCCCAAATACATAAATCTTTAAAACCTTCTTATAGCCACATTAAAAAGAAAAGAGAGAAACAGGGGATAATATTCTATTCTGATAATAAATAACAATAAAAATTTAAAAAAGATAATGTTTTATCCCAAGATATTATTATTTTAGTAAGTAATTAGCATAGGAAATAATTAATGGGATATTACACTTAACTTTTTTCAAACTGTCTTCAAAATCCAATATATGTTGTCCGCTGACAGTGGGTCGGGACCGGCCCTGCCTGAGGTGCCAAATAGCCAGCCACACGGGCCTCGTGGCTGTCGGGTGGATGGAGCCGCTCTAGCCTGTCCAGCCTTGCGGGCTTTCCCCTGACTCAGCACCTCCAGCTCTACTGGTCGTTTTGGGATTCTTGAGCATGCCACGCTTATTTCCTTGAAATTGTTGTGCTTTTCTGCCTGTCACATTGAATTGTATGTCTGCTCAGATGTCACGGCTTCAGAGATGCCTTGGCCAAGTTCCCTGACCCTGGGACTCTGCTTCATTTCCTTATGGAACCTGTCATCCAAAGTGGTTTATTGGGTTATTATCTCTCACTTGAGGGCCGAAGTTAGACCCACATACGTAGGATTCTGTAAGGGTGCACAGCATTTCGCCTTCCTGTCCTGTGTCACTTGTTGCGTCATCCTCTTGTCACTGTTCACGTGTGGTGAAGAGCTAAGTCTTTCTACATATTTCTCATTTCTTTGGGATTCAGACTGTCTTACAGTAACTGAGTCAAAGCACATGAACATTTTTTTGTCTTTTTATAAATATTGTCAGATCTTTTTAAAAAATTTTAACATAAAGTTGACCAAATCTGTATGAAGTTTGACAAAAAATGTGAGGAGACAATACACATTTCTCCCTATCTTTGCCAACACTTGAATACTGTCTTTCCTTTCCATAAGACTGATTATACATTTCTTAGCTTAATTATGATGACAAATGGGGAGACGGGTGTTGTATCTCCTAATTTGTCTTTTGCTCACTTGGGTTGGTGTTCTCTATTTCGGTACTCTTTTTATTCTTTTATATATTTAGGATAGCAGCCCTTTGTCACATCCCGCAGATATCTCCCCTGGCTCTTTGCCTTTTACTTGCTTAGGGTATTATTAATTTTTTTTTAACTTGAAAGAGTTTTTTACCTTTTAAGAAATTTAAGGTTAATACCACCTTTCTATGGCTCCTCCTTTACTTTCATATTTAATGGGTTCTCCTTGCCCAGATAACTGTTTTTTTCTAGTTCTATGCTTTTGTTTTTCACATCTATCTCTTTCTGTTCTTCTGGGACTTGTTTTGACATCATACATGAAGTGAAATAACTTCCTTTACTTTTCCTTAATAATTAATCCATTGTTTTAGCCCCATTAACAAAAATATTATTCTTGGTGCCTTGAAATAAAGCTACCTTTCTTATATGCTAAAAACATATATTTTTATACTTGGTTCTTAGCTTTTATTCAGTATTCATGATTTGATACTAGTGCACATTGTTTTAGTAATTGGGAGTAATAATGTGTTTTCCTTTTGTTACTCTATTTCTCCCTCCCTTTTCCTCCCTAAATTTCTGGCTGTTGCTTTGTTCCCAAGTTTTTTAGTTGATTCTTTAGGGTCCGGTGTTTTTGAATTTTTAAATTAAAAAACTTTTTTTTTCAAAGATTTTATTTATTTATTTGATAGAGAGAGACACATCGAGAGAGGGAACACAAGCAGGGGGAGTGGGAGAGGGAGAAGCAGGCTTCCCACTGAGCAGGAAGCCTGATGTGGGGCTTGATCCCAGGACCCCAAGATCATGACCTGAGCCCAAGGCAGATGCTTAATGGCTGAGCCACCCAGGTACCCCTAAAAAATTCTTATTTCTACAGGTAATGTTTTCTGTATAATAAAAATATTTAGTGCCATTAGATTCTTTTTTGCATGTAGTTTCCTTAAATGTTGACATGTAAAAATATCTGTATTTATTTACTTGTCCCTCATAGCTGCCATTGCTCCTTGCTGCCTGGACTTTGTGCCCAGTGCTGAGGCCTCCTCGGTGAACACACAGGGCCTTTGCTTTGACTGAGTTCAGAGTCTCTGGGAAAGCTAACCGAAGAACAAAGGGTTTTCAAATGTTGACAAGTGCTAAGAAGGAAAGAAATATGATGTGCCAGTAGAGATTGGAGCCTGCTAATTGGATGTCCTGAGAACATTTCTGTGAGGATGTAGCATTTAAGCTTAATGGTGGAACCAAGATTTGTTTGGGGAGTTTCTTTAAGCAAATCCTGGATCTGTCAGAACATTCAAAACAAAC